TTTTTGCTCAGCCTCTCCGTGCATCTTGCCCCTTCCCAAGGAAAACTTACAAGGACAGAGCTGACCCTGTGAACTGCTGCACTCTTGTTTACCCTCATGAACAGCAGCTCAGCCCCAGCTCTGTGTCCCATACCCACATCCTCAGGACCCGGCCTCTGATATCACTGGAGAGCTGGTGTTTGGGTAGAAGCCCTGACAAATGGATCACCAGCTGTGGTGCGCTGTCAGTGCAGGCTGGAGAGGACAAGTACCCATCAGAGGTCTTGATAAAACAGCTGCTTGGTGTTTACTTCCAATGTGAAATGCTGGGAGAGCATTAAGTACGATTGATTTGTTGTTTTATACAGCTTTTATTTTCCAGTCATTTTCTGCCATTAAAATTAGGATTTTTGCTCTGAAGTTCCAAGGTAGCAGCCTTGCTCTAAAACCGCTCTGCTCTCTTTGCTCCCCGCCTCTGCAGGAGCAGAATACCAGATCACATTAACAACCAGAGTCTTTTATGGAGTCGTTTTTAAGCCAGTTAAAAATGCCATTTCAGTAGATTGCCCTATTTGAGTTAGCAGGAACAAGCTGTATCTTTTTTATTGCTTTTGACTGGCCAAGTACAAGGTTTAGGCCATGTTTCGTGTTGACTATAAAGTTATATTAATAGCCTGGTTAGTGGTCAGATGTTCTATATGTGTAACTAATGTGTAAATAGGCAAAATGTCTGAGGTAGAGGGGTCATAATGTCTCTTTTTTTTACTTCTTTATTACACTTCTGAGTTACTAAATCTTGTATGCAAATTCCCATTCTCTATAAAGAAGTGAGAAGGGCTCGTGATGGTGGTTTGTGTTTTGTTGTGTTGTTTTTTTTTTTTTCTTTTTCTTTAGAACATCCTGAAAGCAGAAATTTACATCCTTGCCTTCAGGGAATGTAGGAGATAATTTTTGTTGATTATCTGTGACAGAAGTAAGATGAGGTAGCATAGTGATTATATTCACCCCTATGTTGATGACTCTTAATTTCATTCCCAGCATAGTCCCCTGATTCTGAAGGGACTAGTAGCATGAGGGAACAGGTGAATTGAATCATATCCTGAGTTCCACTTATCTTCATTGATCCAAGAAGCAAGTGATTGTGCTCCTGGGAGCTGCTGTGTCTCCTTCTGAGCAGAGAGGGAAGAACACAGGTGTTTGAGGCAGGTGAGGAAACTTGCAACAGGCTGAAGTCTCTGTTACTGTCAGCAACTGCTTTTGCCCCTGTACAGCTTACGTGTTCTGAGTAGTTTAGGGATGAATGGAAGCTAAAAATGAGAATGTTTGCAGGAATCTGAAGAGACTTATTCATGTAAGAGGGTCAATACAAAACCATTGCATCATGCTGAACTCAAATTCTATTTTCAGTGGGACTTGAAGCAAAAAATAACGAGCCAGAATTTCTCACAGCAGGGAACCAGATTTCTGAGCAGTGTAAATTGTCCAAAGGAAAATATGAGATGAATATTACCCATAATGATTACTTAGCATGATGTCTTCTGTCAGTTTTGGTTCGAAGGTTGTCCTTTGACAAGAACTACCTGACTTCTGTGATTATTTGCTCTATAGTGGAAGGATGCATTCACAGAATCATAGAATCACAGAATTGAGTTGGAAGGGACCCTTAAAGGTCATCTAGTTCAATTCCACTGCAATGAATAGGGACACCTACAGCTAGATCAGGTTGCTTGGAGCCCCATCCTGCCTGGCCTTGAATGTTTTATAATTTGAAGAGATGGTTCTCAGAACCTCTTCTTGCTGCTGCTTTTCTATTTGTATACTGTACTGTTTTCTGGGGAAAATTATTAACTATTTGCAGAGAAAACAGATCACAAACTGCAGACTGTCCAAATTAAAATCAACAGCAATTAGATGCCATTTACCTCTTATTAGATGCTGTTTACCTCTTTTAAAATTATTACCTAAAGTTCCTGGATATCAGAGAAGTAAATATATTGGAAAGGACAGAAGACTGATTTGAAATATTGAAACACCTTTGACATTTTTCATTATGCTAGCAAAATATACCAGAGAGACAAGGATAAGGATTAGAGCTTTGGCTTCTAGAAATTAGTTGATTGGTCATCGTGTGGAAAAATAAATACGTTCCTTCACCAGGTCCCTGGCCATGTCTCCATTAGATTTTACTGAGCAAATTTGTATTTGCTTAATGTATCCATTGGTAGATCTTCCATGAATCCAGCCAGTTAAGTCAATTGATCTTATAGGATGCAGAACAGTGGTATCAAAAGTCAATGCATATTTTCTCCTCGTAGCTTTGCATTTACGTTAAAAGCTTCCCTGCAATTGGAAATAAGGCCTGGTGGTATCTTCACAGGGTTGGTGTTCCCTGACATTAATGCAGTGACTGAAACTACTGAAAGTCACTGTCCTGCTCCCCAGCAGCCCATAGCTTCTAAATCAGCCTTTTGTTATCAGTATAATGGGGTTGAATACATTTTTAAAAGGTGGTAGCTATTGATTACTTAATGGAAAAAGTTAGTATGGAGAAGTGCTGAAGCAGCCCTATTTCGTACTCTCCAGTGCAACGAGACCATTATCTAGAAGAGTGGAAATCATCCGGTAACCCTTATTAATATTTAATAGGGATGAAGCAACACTGAAGGATTCTACAAAATAGCCCCAGGCTTCTGCCCGTGTAGGATATAAGGTTGTTTCAAGGGTCAAAAAAAGAATAACTGATTTCCCTGTGCTCAGGCTGTTTATAGGTAAGATCAACAATAAACAATGTTTTTCCTCTTGTTCCTTTTAAAGTATTTGCAGCATATCTGCACTTTAATATACAGTTATTCCTACTAGACATCTTCAAGTGATTGAATGCAACAGAAAGGTCAGTGTATGTTTAGAGATCACTGTGTGAGAGAGACGATTTTATACTTCCCCAATATTGCTGTGAATCCCAGCCTCTTGCTTCGTGCTTCAGGGCACATTTGGCTGGGTTGACAAGCCAGTGAAAGGTGTTAATCCTGTCTAATAGAACCATAATCCTTGGGGCTGTGTTTTCATATCATACTATTGAGCTAACCCCCTTGTCACAGGATATTTTTAATCTAGTGAATAGTAAAGTTCTACGTGGAAATTTTAGATGAAATTAAGGTGTACAGTCTAAATTGCCCTTTTCAATTTCATGGGGTAAAAACAAACAAACAAACCACAGTGTTTAGCTAGCAGAGATTCCTTGGGAAATCGCAATCAATTAAGAGGAGAGCTGTGTGGTTTTCCTTTTTCTTTTTTCTTTTTTTTTCTCCACTCCAGTGAACAATAAATGCCATTTGTCCAAAAATATTCACAAATCTGGGTCAGCATCTACAAATAACCTTTGGCTTGAAATATTTTCCAGGTCAGATTGGCCCCAGAAATGTTAGTAGGGGAAAAACAACAAAAAAAAAAAACACCCTACCATGAAAAAAAGAGATGTAAGGTATTATTTCTTTTTCTCTTAAACTCCAGTGGTTGAAACGTGGACCCAAAATGTGGATCCTCTCCTATTCAGTTGTGCTCGGTTCTCTGCCCTTGCTATGTTCAAATGGCAACAGTGAGGATTTTTTACTTTCAGCTGTGCTTCAGGGGAGGCAGATTTTTTCCTCTCTAACAGAGACAAAATATTCTCACTTGGCTTCCCATAGCTTTTCTTCGTCTTATTGTTTTTCCCCTCTGGTAACTATTTTTAGTTTAAAAGTGACTGTGTGTAAGCGATAAAGAAGCTAATATGGCTAGTAACCCTGTGATTTATGAGCAGGGACAGAATAAGATGGAGTCCTTCCTGGCTGGAAATACCCAGGGGAGGTACGCGTGTGCTCTGCGTTGCCGGTATCATTTGGATGAACTCCTTCCTTAAGACCACAGTTGTGAAGCCTGAATGCCAGCTCATCACCCTGCACGGCACTGGGAGTATGACAGCGTTACCCATGAGTCCCTCAGAGGACTAACTGCTGCCAGAAAAGAGAGTGTCAGGAGGCAGAGCAGCAAACAGCAGCTTGGTGTCTGTGGGCAGAGCTGGCACTCACAGAGCTGCCAGAAGCTGAAATTGTAACTTGCATGTCAGCTCAAAAAGGTCCCTTCCTTACAGGAAAGTCTGAAACCACAGTCTGAAACCACTTAACTAAATCTTTCAAGATACAGTCTGTTTGTGTATTACTGTGTAGTTTTTACCCCTAGAAGGCATTTTGAGTGTTCAGAAGTAAACAGAAATGATATTGCATATTATAGGATAGTAAAGCCTCTTTGAGAAATCTGATGCTCCATTAAAAGCTGTTCATTTAGTATGCAAGAGTGAAGAGTTTTTAAAAATGGATTCATTCTGGATTTAGCTTTGACTATTAGTGAAGATGTAAAAACAAGCCATTAAAACACTGTGTAGTTGGTAAATTCTGGCTATTATTAGGGGCACACTTAAATGGACTTCTGACATATCAGCAACAAAAGCGTGTGGCCCGATTATTCTGCTGCTCTCCCACAACATGTCTTTTGGCCAAAACACATTCCTGCTACTTAGCAGTCCTTGCCAATTCCTGTTGGTAAAGAAGCCTGGACATGCTTCCCAGCCACAACCATAAACTTTAACAATGGTTTCCACCACCATAACCAGCTGTATGGCTCCTCTTGTACTTACGCAAGTAGGGATTTTTTCTGAGCTCACAGACAGCTATCTAACCCAGAGGCTTCTCATAAATATCTGCATATAATTAATATGGAATGGATAAAAAGAACGCAAATCGCACCCATTATCTAATTTGTATTTGAAGTAGTATTGTTCCTCTCATTCATTGTTCTGCTTCCAGCAGTAAAGACATAATTCTTTTCCCTGCAGTCACCTCCTAGTTTGTTTCTGCTGGATGTAGCAGCTCATGGTTCACTGACTTGGGAGGAATTTTTAACAGTGACTTGGAGGTAATATTTAAGTCTTCATAACAGAGCAAATTACCAACAGTGAGTCAAGGTTTGTCTTCTTTTCTTTACAGCGCACCAGTAGTTTTGGAAGCTTTGACCGTTTCAGATATCACTCAGTATCAAAGACAGATGATTCAGCTGAGGTCTGTATCAAACAAAATTTTGCTTTCTTCAGTTCTCTTTCCCTCCCCATGAAGACTGTACAAAACCTTTGGGTAACCACTGTGTGAATTTTACACTGGGAGAACTTTGCTGGTGTACCTAGGTCTGTCTGGATGATTGAGTTCTTGCCAAAATGAGCATGAGAATCACATTTTAACATTGCTGATTCAATGTGAATATCAGAAGCAACTTTTCAAAAAGGCAAAAGTGCTTTTCAGTCTGGTGTATTCTCAAATTAACCTGGATGCAGCCCACAAATGTGTCATTTTTGTTTTAATCAACCTGCATAAGTCCCCTCAATTGTTTGGATAAAAGACAATAAGCAAAAGGAAACAACATTTCCTAGCATAAAATGTATTTTCTTTCTGGCATTCACAGTACAGTGGTATGCTGCAAACTTGTTTTAGTATTCCCCATTAAAATGGCTGTGATTGACTTTTGTCATCTTAATTGCATTGGTGTCCTTAAATTTTTTCGGTCATTCATGTTTTTCTGTGCCAAATTTTATTTTCATGGTATGTTGCATACATTTTTACTTCAAATCAGGTGTCTGAGTTGGAGACTGTAAGTGATATTGGAGATGCAGCACAAACCAAAGCAGCGTATAATGGAAGAAGCTTGGGAAAGAAGATGAGAGCCATTTCCCTTACCATGAAGAAAAAGATGGGTAAAAAGTACATCAAGGCACTCTCTGAGGAGATGGTAATTACAGCTTAAGAATCCTTAATAATACACACAAAATGAAAATGTTATGTGGATTTTACTTTTTTATGCTTCAGGCAGCTATCAGTCATGAGACTCCATGAAAACATTGTTACAAGTATTGAATTAAAATAGCTTTTAGTATATAGCTTTCCTTCCCCATGCATGCTCACGTACAAACACATGCACAGATACCATTACAGCATCACATGGTAAGAATCAAGTTAGACAAAGGATTTTTATATCATTGAATTTTGCTTTGTCATCATGGAACATTTGTGTAAGCACAAAAAAAATCTCTTAATATGGAAACAGGGAAATACTGGATGAACTTAGTTGTCAGTCTGATACTCAACCTGTACAAAACATTTCATTAGGAGAATTAATCTTCAAATACAGTTTTGTTTTTTTTCCCAAAGTCCATTTTATTGAGGTCAGCCAGCATCCTACAGCATGACAACTCATTTGACTTATCTGCTTTTTCCTTATTTAATCCAAGTGAAGCTATCTTCGTTAAACATAAAAACATTGTCTATTTCACACATATCTTGTGTCTTTCAGTTCTGAATTTTGAAGCACATAAGGAAAAATGAAATGTCCCTAAAAAATCTAGCTGATCTGTATCCTATCTCATACATGTGTCAACATCAAATAACAAGGGAGAGCAAGCAAAAAACTTCAGAAATTGAAAAATAAAAAGTGTTGAACAGGATATTGTTAGGCAGTTTTAGAGGTCAAAGACAAGGGTTCACAATTCATTTGCTTAGTTGTTTTTTCTGTTTGTTTGTTTGTTTTCTACAATTCTGCAGGGTGCAGTGCATGAATTTTATAGTATAGAAAAGAAAAATTAGAATTGTGACATTTAACTTGTGGGCATTTACAGCAACTATTCACATGACAGGAATTCAATGAATTGTATGGCCGGACACACATCTACTCTGATCTTCATTCCTGCAGTAGACGGTGGCAGTCAATACTGGTCCACTGATTAATCGATGGCTTGTGCCGATGATTGGTGTAACAAACACTGCCCTTGCTGAAAAACATTAGTCTTTCATTTTAGTGCTATGCCTGGTATATACCTGCACCTGTCTCTTCTTCATACCTGCTTGATTCCATGCAAAAGGACTCCACCAGTGAACTGATGAATGATTAACATGTTTCGAGTATGATGTAACATTTTAAGTACTGCATGATCTTTCAGTTGCATGAAGATATTACGCATGTTGACAATGTGATGCAATCTGCCAAAGAACGTCCTACTTTTGAAAGCTCGTTATTATTTCACTTAGCTGTTACATCATCCCTAACTCAGCTGCGATTGAAAAACAGACCTTCTTGTTTTAAATTCCTTAAGTGTATAAGCTGTGATTTCTGAAGCGTGATTTAATGTTACGAACTCCGGGGACCAATTTCATACATCATTAGATTTTGTAAGAGAAACACGCATCTGTTAATTCTGGAATGCCCTGGATTTTGAGGCAAGTGTATAGGTTGAGCAAGGTAGGGAGCATGGTGCAAAGCACTGATGCTGTATGTGCGTGCAAACTGTCTCTGAAATGCCCTTGCTCAGGTGCCAGCACACCTCTAAGTGCGCACGATTTTCAGAAGTTCAACACAATCCATAGATGTCTCAGCTTGCCCTTCATTATGAGCATACAGAATTAATCTTTATACTTCTTCTTCAGAGACAATTAGAAAAACCATCTTATCTGTCTACCTGTAAATTACTCATTATAAGCCTTTGTGCTGCTGTCATATATTGCATCTGCTGAGATGGAGAATTACTTGAACAGAAATGAAATTGAATGGGGTAGAGAAGAGACAAGTGCTGGTACTGGGCATCCTTGATTCTGGATAGATCGGTACTGGATAGATATCCAGACATCAACTTCTTAATAAAATGGTTCTTAATAAAATGTAATGATGATTAAATCCTCAAGTGCAGTGACGATTGAAAAGTAAAATAAAATTTTCTGAAATACATCTCTTGGTGGTTAACAACTGATTCTTTTTGTTAAAGAATGAAGAAGGAAAAGATGACAGTGATCCTGGTGGTGGAATACACACTGAGAAGGTCTCCCTGAAAGCCAGTGACTCTATGGAAAGTCTCTATAGTCTAAACAGTGGCCAGAGCTCATCCAGTAAGTACAAGATATCCAGACTTCTTAGTCAGTCACAGCTTCAATATGGTTATTTCTGAATTCTGAGGTATAAGAGCCAGTGATTAAAAATGTGATACTAGTGCACTCTTCAGTCTGGCAGACAAAAGTATAATCTGATCAAATAGGTAAGGAAGAAATTCCTGAAATAAACTGAGTGTTTTTAAGAGTGGAGATATTATTATTATTTATTTTTTTTAACTACATGGAATATATTATAGGGAATGATACAGGTATATATGCCAGGAATGTTTTTGAGGGCTAGCACTGCTGGAGTGCTGGCACCCACAGAGTTACAAATCCTGAGTGTAGCCACAGAAGCATTTTCTCTAACAGTAGTGTCTACGAGTTCATTCTTCACTCTGAAGATGTGAGACAGACAGTGTGAGAAATAGTCTGAGTTGAAGAGTGGTGAGAGCCTGAGCTGGTGGCTTCAGATCATGATGTTGACACAATCTGCTTCTCTGCAAATCCACTAAATCCCGTGCCCCAACAGAGCTGTTGGAACTTCTGATGAGAAGTGGAGTTCACCTCCACCAGTCTATCCATTGCTCAAATGTGGACAGTCATTGGGCAGCAAGTTACAGCAGTCCATGGTGACGTTGCTATGCCATCGCTGCAGGCTTCACGTGAGTCCTGAGTTGCAGTCCCAACCATTTGCACTTAGTCTTTTATCTGGCCCTGAGACAGAGCTGTACACTTAAGCAATCACTTCAGACAAAACCATTTTTATGATAATTTTATATGATGTGATTTGTGAAAATTGTATATGAGAGTTTACTTCCAACACACTGCTGCTCTTATCTAAAAACATATTTGGATGGGATATTGCAGAGCTTGCTCAAATTTGCTTGAATTACTATGCTGATATTTTATTGCTCAACTTGGATAAAATGACGGGCAGAAATGTTGATAACATTAAAATTTCCCTCTGCAATGCAGGTTCCTTTGGTGCTTTAGCTCACTCTGTAGTGAAATAAAATAACTTCTACACTACTTGTTTTCATTCCTCTCAATAAACAGGAGAAGTTCAGCAGAATTAATTCCCTAAATTGCAAATTTAGAGTACATGATATTTATCTGCAGAGTGATATTTTTAAGTCTGTGTGTGTAAAATGTGTAATCTATTAGTATCATCACCAGAAAAAGATTATTGGATGATCTCCAACTAGTCTCTTACAGTATGGTTTTTTGCATGTATTTTGCCTGGAACGTGTCAAAACCACGTGAAGTATGTTCTTTTTAATTCTGTGCCTTTAAAAACCTCCCTCTCTGCTGCCATACAGAATGGAATGTCTGCACAGTTAGTGCAGGAGATCTCAATTTCCACTTGAATCTCTTTAAGGTGGGGTGACCAGCTGCTCTGATGGAACAAGCAACAGGGATAGCCTCCGGTTTGATGATGAAGTCCCTTACAGTGGGCCATTCTGCGGCCGAGCCAAAGTGCACACTGACTTCACACCAAGTCCTTATGACACGGACTCTCTGAAAATTAAGGTAAGACAACCATCAGGATTTCTCCTTTTCTGGTGAGAACATCAGAGATGCACGTTTTATGTCTGAGAACACGTTAACAAAAACATTTTTAACTGGTAAACACATGTACCACTCTAAAAGCAGAACAGATCTGCTTCTGCTGAGCTTCTATAATGACTGAGTTCTGACTGCACGTTTTTAAGGCATAGGTTCAGCAGGCACCTCACCATGGCTTTCCTTGGGTAAAATTCATGTTGCTCCCTACACACTAGGAGATCTGGAGGAAGAAAAGCATGAGTTTCATGGGGTGTGAAGTTTCTTCCCCAGCTAGGATGTCTCAAAATCGTGGTGGTACTCATTGATTTTAATGCAAACAGCCCATCTTTCCACTAGGCCTTCATTTAAGCATACTTTTGAATTATGGATTTTCTCTGGCTCTGATATCATGGCAGGGGTGTCCAGAATGAGGGAGTGAGAAAAAGGAGATCCAGATACATGAACAATACTAAGAAGATCCAGCTTTTTTCTTCTTCATCCGTGCACAGATACGATCAGTAATATTATTGTTCAAACTGTGCACAGCTATGTAATCTGAACAACTTTCTTTTCTCTCTGTAAACACCTTCCTACCAAGACTGCATCCATACTTCAACATCTTTTTCTCTTCTTCATAGCCTCTTCTCATCCAGATCCTCATTCATATCTCACTGCAGTCTTTTTCTTTTCCTCTCAGGCCTATATTACAACAATTGCTCAGTGAATAATTGCAGTTTTCACCACATGCCCTGCACTTCCACACATGCCCATGGCCTTTCTTTCAGGACAATCCAATTCCCACATCTTGGTGTGAACACTTTTAGGAACAAGCCTTTCTGAAGTTGCTATATTGTTACTCATCTTTTTCCCTTGCCTTTTTGAGTGCATGAACAAACTTGGAGAACTGAAGTTTTTAGGTCTGTCTGCTGAGGTATTTTCCTTATTTTCTCACTCATTTTCAGTCCTTTGGGAAGCATTCTCTTGAAGATATTAAGATATTTAGAGAGTTAAATGTTCTTTATTGCCTTTGAGAAAAGTAGCTGGTGTTTCTTACCAAAAAATGGGTAAGAGTCCATCTTTCATCTACTTCAGCTATTAGTTTTAGAAGATCCCTGGGACAATGGATATTAAGATAATTGCATAAGTGGATTAGGGTAAAAGAACTAGGTGAGTAACTGCGTAAAGCATTTGGAAAGTAACCTCACTGTGCTCCCCTGCTTTTTGCCAAAGCTATGCCCATTATTGATGGCCAAAAGTTGCTTTCTGGATGCAATGCTATGCCTTTTCAGGGACAAAGTGGAGCACAAAAGGTTGAAAGGTGTTGCTTATGCTGTCTTCTCCTTCACAGAGCTCTGGAGATAAGGACTAGCTCTATTTCCTGTAACACTTTGCTGGGATTTTATAAAAGCAAATAAACTACATGCAGATAATTTTAAAAAGCTACTTCACAATGCCTAGTTAAGATTCTGTGCTGCCTGTGTGCATTTTGGTCTACAGAGGAAATGTCACATAAACCAGGAGTTAAGCAGTGCTGTGTTTATTTCTGTTGTTCTAGAAAGGAGACATTATAGATATCATCTGTAAAACGCCCATGGGGATATGGACAGGCATGCTGAACAACAAAGTAGGAAACTTTAAGTTCATTTATGTGGATATTATTATGGAAGAGGAAACTGCACCCAGGAAGATAAAACCGCATAGAGGAAGCAAAAGGAACAAGCCTAAAACACTGCAAGAACTCTTGGAACGTGTCCATCTGCAGGTCAGCAAACATTGCCCTCTTGTATCTGAAATCTTTAATTTCTGTGCGCTTGGGTTGGATGTAATTTACAGGCAGAAGTAGAATGGGAATGGCAGATTTCAGCAGTTTTTCAGGCAGCCATGCAAAGAAGCTTTGTCTCTGATATGTGGCATATATAACTACATTTTATCACAAGATTTTGTGAAGCTAAAATACTCCATGCAGGGAGACACAATGATGACTTGCTAAATCATCGTTAACTTGCCTGTGACTGTGTGCCTTAGGGCAGGAGACCTGTGACTATGTGGAAATCTTGGGCAGAACTGCAGTGCAACTCAGCTGCTAATGTTTAGAATTTAGGTTTCCAATTTTGCATGAACTGTGGGAGCAGTAGGTTTTTTTTGCACTATGCTCTTGTTGTGCCTTTCTCCCTCAGTGGCTCCCTAGGTCCAGACCCTATCTTGATCCAATCTGCTGCCAGGCTCTGGTAGATAACTCAGATGCAGGTGAAGGATGGTCAAGAGGATCTCAAGACATCTCTGCCTCTGTTTTCTCACTCTCAATCTCTAATTTTGTTCGAAAGACATTTTCAACTGGCTGAAAAGTAGAGCCCATTTCAACCTGATGAAGAGGAAAAGAAAAATTGTGCCTATTCGTCTACTAAACATAGTGCTTGTTTAAGTGATGGATTTGCTCATTTCTTTTTGTAGGAATACACCTCAACTCTCTTGCTAAATGGCTATGAAACTCTTGAGGATTTAAAAGATCTACACGAGAGTCACCTGATTGAATTGAATATTTCAAACCCAGAGGACAGGGCAAGATTGTTATCAGCAATTGAAAATCTACAGGACAATGACAGTAAGTGTTTAAGCATTAAGAGTCATGTGCCCATTTTATCTGAAGAAAGACAAAGAAATAATGATTCTCACATTGATCTATTTAATGATTTTTCTTTTAAATGTGAAAAATCGAGTTGAATAGTTTCCTTATTTGTCCTGATGGATAACTACATCTCTTCCAGATATATACATGATTGCTATCCTAGTAACACATAAATGATTTAAGATTTTCCATTGATAGGTCCTAATCTAAAGGTTGACAGCAACTGCTGCTTGAAAGCAATTCTTTTTCTAATGGGGAAACCAAACCCAAGAGAGGTTAAATGATTTCCCCAAAGTCAAAAGATCTCTGCAACTGCAGAAAATCAAACTTTCCAAACTCTGAGTTTAGTACTGAACAAGAATAAGTACAATAAAGAATTTATGACAATGGCTAGAAACTTCAGCTTAACTAGATACTCAGCCAAAAAAGATGTTTTCTTAATCTTTGTGCATACTCACCTCCATCATGAGCAGTTCTTTTCTCCGATGTTCTTCTCAACTGAGAAGCATCTGGAAGAGGAAAAAAGGATACCTTTCCTTCCTGGGATGTTTTAATATTAGTTCTTGTTTACTGCTTGGTTTTTCTGTCCTCAGTATTGGTGGCTTTCCATTTCTCACTCCAGAACATGTGCAATACATGTGTACATACCTGAAGACACAGATATATTCAAATTCTTCTGTACATTAATCTTTCTGAATTTCTAAGAATACTTCTGGCTGCCTCATCCATTCAACTTCCCTCATAGATTTTCTCTAATTTTCTTGGTTTCTTTGCTGACCATGTTTTTCATTCTACATTGAGGTCTTTCTGTTCCCCATTTCTACGTCATATGTCAGCATCCACAGAAATATAAGTTTCTTGAAAAAAATATTTGAGAAGCATTTAAATGGTGTTCTTTGCCCAGCAGGATCAGTACTACTTTCTGGTCTATAGCTTTGTGAGACGTGTGGCTAGAAGAGAACTCTTGAAGGTCTGTCTACATAGAGGCTCTGATAGAATGAATGTGGGAAAGAAAAGGTTAAATTTCCCAGGTATTGTGTTGCAGAGGTTGAGCTGGAAATCATGTAAAAATACATTAATTTCCTTAGTTTGCCCTTGAATAGTATGTACTTCTTGTTAGTTACAGCTTTACCACATTTTCTGCACCTTTTACTGCAGGTGTTTCTGTATCAGTGTTTAACAAGAGGAATTAGAGAAAAATGCTCATTTGTGAATTTACAGAGTTCTGTATCAGTGTGAAAAACAAAAACAAAACATATGATTTTTAACAGACAACCAAAGTGTCAAACTATTCTGGGACTCTGAGGATGTGGTTTACTATTTATACTCCCTGTAGAGCAAAAAGTATTGCAAGCAGGCATGTTGCATTTTTAAAAGATGACACCAAGGTTTTCCTCTTTTGAAAATGTCTTAACCATTTAATATTCTACATACACTCATGCAAGGAGCACATTTTAGAACGTCCTTATGTATCCTGTACATTGAACATTAGCAAATTTACCTTAGTTATCAAAATAGAGTTCTTACAAATTGGGAGCATGGGATTAAGTCACTTTTCTCCAGCAAGCAAACAAACAACAACAACATTTAACAGCTTGCTCTAAAAAAAGAAGATATTAAAGACTAAAGTTGATGGAAGCCATCTGTCAGGTAGTTATAATGAAAGATGGAGAGTCAAGATGATCTTGGGCAAAAGCTCAGCATGTGTCTGACCTTGTCCAAATCATTTGACCTCTTTGTGCTTCTGTCAGTCCAATTGGAAAATTGAGTTGAAAGAGCTGAGTGTTACTGTGAAAGTGAATTCTGCATCTGAACTGAACTTTCCTAGGTCAATATTTTTTTTCCTAAATGGGCATGACTGAGTCCAGCATAAATGATTTCTTAATTAAAATTGATTTTCTGCACTGCTTAGAAGTGAGCAGCATAATTACCCACAGCTACAAGGTAATCTGTTTACTGGCCTAGAGTGTTCTGGATAGAAGTTCCGCACTTTTCCAGGCAAAAGTTGATTTTTCTAATGAGCTTTGTTTAAGAAAATAATAATAATTCTAAGGTCATAGATTATATTTACTATCCTAATCCCATCTTTCTCACAGAGCTTGGAACAGTTCCATGTCTTTGGACTATATCTGTGCTTCCATGAAGCATGTGTTTAATTCATGGATGGAGTCTCATCCATGAAGGTACGCTCCAGATTTGAAATGCAAGGTTTATGAGTTTTTGTGACTCTATCACTATTCATAAAGGCTAAGTATGGAGGAAGGTAGCCTCATTCTTCCTGATTCTATTATAAATGTAATCAAACATGATTTAGTATTTCTTCAATGCAATACCTGATGTAGTGAAAACGGACAGTTGTTTTTACAGGCCTATTCATTTTTTTTTTTCCTTTTTTGTCTTTTTTTTTTTCTTGACATTTATTGTATGTTATACTAAGTAGTTTCCTTATGTTGTAGGCTTGGAACTGTAGAATTCATATTGCAGAATAAAGTTACAGTATTTTCCAGCAACAGTACTTGCACAAATAGTTTCCATATTATGTGCTTCTTAAGACTGTTCAAAACACAGTATTCTGGGCAGTAAGAATTTTTCATCTTACATTTGGTTTAGATCCAAATGAATTTGAGAGTAATAAGTTTGCTCGTCTCACAACAGGAGTTAAAAACTAACTTTTATTTAGAAAATGCCACTACTCTGTGTGTTTTTAAAACAGTTTTTTTCTTCCTGATACTGCACTGCCTGCTTTTTACCTTTCCTATGAGACAAGAACCAAATTTACCATCTTCAAGTATGTCATATAGCAAGATTACTGTAAAACTGCAAGGTCTTTTGAGCTCCTCTTGACCTTCCCCCACCCCCACAGATCTCTTTTTAGATCTGCCATGAGTTGATCAGACCTTATATATTTGGCACAAAGTGGTTGGCTTCCATGAATTCATGTCTGGAGAAGAAAAAAAAAGTTCTTTTTCATAAAGTATTTCTTAATAGCTTTTCATTCTTCTCCCAGATGGCTTCTAGACAGGAGATGGATGTCTGTGCTTTTGTAGGATGCTATTTTTAAAGTGAAGCAGTTGCTGAATGGTTAATGAGTAAAGTAATAAAAGAAGTTTGCAACTTTTTATTTTCTTGACTGCTTCCCGAGACGCACATTTTTGTGTGTGTAAAATAGACTTGATTCCTTTGGATATATGCATACAGTTCATATATAGAAAGAAAAAAAAAAGATATGTACATGCAATCTTGGGGATAATTATTTTACTCTTATCTCCCCAAATCCACCTCCATATTATCCTTTTCAATTTTAAGTCTCTGATCATACTCCAGATCCCGCTGCCAGTGTCATATAAGAATTGTTTCATATTTATTGTATTTGAACAGCAAGTTAGCTGGTAACACAACATTCAGTTCTCAGCTGCTTTCCTTACACGAAGACCTTAGATTTTCCCAAGAAAAGCAGCCTTGTATGAATATTAGTGTTTTTCACCTTTTTCCAGAGATGTCTGTTTGATTCCTGAATTTAGAGAAAAAGAAGCTTCTCACCTCTGTTTTCACCATAGGCTCTCCCCTCATATCAGTTCAGTATCCCTCCCTCTTGTACTCTGAATGCTGCAGAATCTTTGCCAGTGGGAAGAGAAGGGCCAACAGATGCCAGAGCAACCTCTGCTACTGAAAGCAGAGAATCATCATAAATCACAAAGTCATAGAGTAGCCTGTTGGAAGGAACCCCCAAAAGTCATAAAATCCAACTCCTGGATGTGACATTGACTTCACAAGGTGGTTCTTTTCACCTTGTTTGTCCGTAATTACCAAAGGTTTATTCCCTTGATTCTCTGAAGTATTGCATGTGTATACAGTCCCACTTCACATTTCTCTCCTTCAGGTACACTTACTACTTTAAAACGATACTTTCTGAGTTTGGTGCTTTATTTTTGTTTCATCCTAATATCGAGTGGTCTCAGTGTCACAGGCCTTGCAGGTTGGTATGTGTTCTTCATACCTCACTAGGAGGTCTAACTTCTGCCTTAATGAAATGTATCATTCTAGTTATTCTGTTGTGCTGCTCAATAGGTCACTACTGCACCATCCAGGAAGGCAACTCAACCTAAAGTATCATGCTCATAGCCCCTTTCACCTTCTGGGCTAAGCTCATAAATGCAAACTCTCAGAGGGCATGGCCATGAAATACAGCTTAATGCAGGCTGACCTTCTTATTTCTCCAAGACAAAATCTAAGCCTCCCACCACTCATCTGGTTTAAACTGACATAATAATGGCACTGGAGTTAGTGTGACCTCAATATATTCTTGAGCAGCATTGACTTACTCCTAAGCTTAAAGTGCTTTCAGAACCAGGACTCTAACCTGATTTTAAGAAGTGGGAAAAGCTGATGAAGGAAAAGGGAAATTGTCGTCATACACTGCTGTGCCACTGGATAGTAAATGTTAATTTCCAAAATCTTAATAGCAAGGAAGATACACATGTGTCACGTATTCATTATCAAGTCTAGAGCCCTAACATTTTTTTCACGAGTCTGCATATAATCCTGCAGTCAGAAGCAGTATTAGAAAATACGTATCAAAATGATGCATATTTTGGACACTTTTGTAAAATATCATTGATAACAGTGACTGAAAGCTACTTATCTTCTATGAAACTGCTTTACTGTAGAAAAATACCAGGGCTTCCATTTGTTGATAAGGTAGTGGTTTCTGATGATTCTTCAGCTTTTAACGGCAGTTTAATTTTATCAATTCCTGTTTCCTGTGCATTATATCTTTTTTCTGATGTCCAAATGATTAAGACAGTAAACTTACCTTTACTAGCGTGGGACTTGAACACGTATTTGCTAGGGAGAGGAGTTAAATAGAACTGAATGTAGAAGCCAAAAGCAGCTGTTTTTCTCAGAACACCAAAAGCTGTACGCTACACATATTTATAATACTCAGTATCCTTTTTAGTTGTTTAGCAGTTGCTATGCTATATTTAAGTCCAGTCATTAAAAGAATGAAAAGCCAAGAAAAAAGCTGAAGAGTGATTTCAGTCCTTTCTTCTGAAATATGTTCTTTTTCTTCAACATTTTCTGTGTGTAATGAAAAGCAAAAATACAACATTTTCACTTTCTCAAACACCTGAACATTTTTGGTTTTCAGTTTTTGACGTTAAAAAAAAAATCTGATAGTATTTTGGGAGGAGACAGAAGTTTTACATGCCTGCATGTTTCTTAAATATACATTCTCCTGAATATTATTTAAACTTAGATTTTAAAAAATCTAAGTTCCATATGAAGCCTCTGTCTTTTTCCCTGGAACGCAGAAGGAAAAGCATTGCTAAAAAATAAGACAGAATCTGTTCTTCATGTAGGAAACTACTTAGATGACTGCAGCTCCTTGCAGGCTACTAATATACTGACAGCAGCAGATGAGTTACTTGGTCTTCTTTTCCACTGCAAAACAAACAAAGTGAATGGAGATTCCACTTTGACCTTGAAAATGCAAACAGGATTAACTCTTTTTAGGTCACTGCTTTCCAGGGCAGCAGATGATGCCCCAGAAGCTGATAAAAGTCCTAGCAAGCAGCATTAGGGCTGATTGGGGATTACAGCAGGGGGAAGGGGAGCCCTGCCTGCAGCCACCACCTGAGCTCTGTCAGCCCACAGTGACCGCGGCCTGGGACCTGTTGGCACTGGTGGAATGGGAGCAAGGGGCTAATGACACACTTTAGAAGGGCTTTAGTGGGGCATCTGCTGTTGTTTGTGCTAAACTGTTGGTGTTGCTACTAATAGCAGCAGTAATACCTTCAGTGGTGTAATTCATTTTGTAATTCTTTTCTGACTTAAATCAGAAATCGGTCGGGGCCTATCTCGTCACGTATTTTCCCTACAAAGATAGGTAGCATTTGATGTGGTGGGCTACGGTCCCTATGGTGAGAAGGAGATCAAATAGTCACAGACATCTATTGAATTTGCTGAAATGTGTACTTGTATGTGCAAGTGCAATTAACCATTAATTTATGTGGGGAGAAAGTAGGACTTTTATTCCTTGGAAAATATTTAAAGTAATCAGAAATCATTTTTTAAAATACGTAAGGCTATGCTGTAACCTCAGACTTAATGCAAAAATGACTACATTGAGACTTTGCATTCTCTTCTTCAAAATTTGGATTAGTTTATTAGCTTAATTAGGTAATTAAAATGTAGAAAATATTAAATAGAATTGATAAGTCCTAACAAATCTACCAGAGTGGGTTCGTGAGGACCCGCAAGTGTTCTCAAATATATCAGAATGCCTTGTAAAATGATTTATCTGGGATCTTGTGGACACGACAAAGAAAGGCCCCATCTATTCCATTTCAACATTTTCAGAGCAGGTTTTAATTTTTTTTAATTTCTAATTTATTCTTAATTACGTAATATTTAAAACAAACAAATCACAGTGAAAACCTTTCTCATGTTGTAATTACTAACAGTTTAAATGAATGTTTAGACACTTTCCTTTCAGAAACGTAATAATTTTAGGCTGTTATCCTGGAACTGAACTAGATCGAGATTTTCAGGAGGGATAAAATCCTTCCTCAGCTAGGACTTCCATACTGCCTGCACTTGAATTGAAACAACTTAAATTTGACCAAAGATTCAAAACTAACTGCATAGCCATGAAGGAACAAGTTGGCTGAAATAAAAGGCCTTTTTTTTTTCCCAAATAAAAAAGGTACCATTTTCTTGAGGCTTGAAATCTGAGGTGAAGCAATCTATTCCTGTATTACCTGGTTCTCTTTCTTTGATTGGAAAGTAAGACGCAGCTCGAAGTAAAAACACAGTTACAGGAGAGCCATAGGGAATGAAAGAGAATGGGAGAGAGAGATGTAACATTTTGTAGCTTGTTTTCTGAAGAAATTTACTGTGACTGAACATCACGTGTTTTACAGAAGATATGAGCGTGAATTTTAACCACGAGATACATTTGATACATGATACACAGGGATATCCTGTCCACAAAATGCCGGCTCACTGAGCTCTTCCTGAGGTGCAGATTGTTGTGTCTGAGCAGATTAGACATGCAGCAGTTAAACAAGGACAAATTATTTGCAAGTTTATCTGCTTCTACTTAGTTTTGGGACAGTGTTCAAAAAACATGCAGCAAGAATTAAGTATCTTGGATTTCTCTGAGGACTTTGTGTTTTGGAAAATATCTTTTTGGACACCAAAAACGAAATTTCTAGGAAGTTCCTATCAGCCATCCATTCCTATTGAGAAGTCAAGTGCTTTTGAAGATCCAATTGCCACACACCTTCAGACTGTGCATGGTGACTGGCACATCTGGGCACAGCCTGAAGAATGCAGGCCAAGCCTCAGGCATTCACATCTGAGCAGCATAGCACAGGATCAAAGCCAACCTCAACAGCAACTTAGGTGCTTGTGTCATCACATTTTTAGTTCTTTGATGCTGTTTTCTGTTTCCAGTAGACAGAAGATATCGATCTAGTGTGTGTATACTACTAACTCTGTTTCTACGGTTCTTCAAGATCAGCCACATTGCTGTCTCAAACTGTTTTACAGGATACTTATTCTGACGCTTCTTTCTTTCTTATTTTGTTCTTTCCAGATGAACAAGAGCAGATAAGCGAGGGTGGTCAGGAGACACAGAGCTTAAGCCCTCAGCACAGTTTTGACAAATCACAGTTAAATGACTGCCCAAGAGATTCCGGCTGTTACATCTCATCAGAAAATTCAGATAATGGTAAAGAAGAAGTAGACCCAGAAACCCTGTCTGACATGGTGCAGTCAATAACCATCACTGAGTCAAACTGATTCTGTTAAGCTGTTTCTGCAGATGCTCAGAAAAGACAATCAGATAAGTGAAGTTGATTTGCTGGTACAGAAGCAGAACACAAAATATTTCTCAACACCGAAAATCTACTTCTGTCTGATATATAATGCTCTAGACTGCTTAATATGCGGACATTTGAGAACTAAATCTTAGCTGATAATAACATTATCTCATGCTTTTCAACGAATCCACCGACATTTCACTGAAAAAGTTCATGCATATATATTTATATATATTTGTACAGCAAATGCATTTTGCATAATGATAGGGAATTGTTTTGGATAGCGATACATTGTCTAAATATTAAGCTGTGGAACTCTCCAAAATGTAAATACTGTATATATTTATTTTTAAAAGATTGATTAATCGTATTGTCTCTTTTTTCAGATGGGTTTTGCTGAGATTTGTACAGAAAATATTTGTATTGATTTACCATCATAATAAAAAACTGGATGCATTCACATCCTACTTTGAAAAGTACTAACCTAATTCCTGTTAGTATTAAAGCCTTTTAATGCTATTCTTCTCCAAAATGGTCTCTGAAGAGGCTGTCTTACATTTTATCCTGGATGAACAAAAGCACTGTCGTGTCAGTCTGAATCAAGCTCTTTGTGTTTGTCACCTTCTAGAGAGTGTAGCCATCTGAATTCCTCACGCACTGCCAATTTGTATATTGTAATTTTCACAACTGTTCTCATTTCTTTCCAAGCATTCTGAAGACAATGCAAGCTTGGAACAACAAAAAACAAACAAACAAACACAGTGGTTTCAATGCTATGCTTTTGTTATTGTTTTTTTGTGTAACTCTTGCCTTTTGTGTGTGATGTCAAGCTTGTTCACTGGGTATTTTTGTTTGTGTACAGAACGCAGAAGCTAACGTGGTTATCATGCACTATTGTCTTTTATATGGAATTTAATTGTCATCTCCCACGGTATTTTGCACTGGAATACACATTACATCCGCCTGTCTTCTTCCTTCAAAAATAAACAAAATCATACATTTGAGCCCTTTAAAAACTGCTTGATTTTTAATGTGGTCATTACATTTTAAAGATTGCTCTGTTCTAACACTAGCACAGTAAATGGCAAATCCACTGAGCATTTTTATCATGTGTAATCATCTTGGTATCAAATCAATACAGAAACTTCCTGCTCACCAATTAGTCACACCATTTTCATAATTTAAAGCATTTTGCATTCATGCTAAAAAGTTTCCACAGACTCCTGACAATTTAAATCACTTTCACAAGAGATGAAGCACGGAAAGTTCCACCCCAGAAGAGTACTTCTAAAGAAACTGTAAACAAGTGGAAAATTCTTATCCTTTTTTTTCCCCATGGGCAATGCTTTCTGCAGTTTCCTGACTCCTCAAAAGAGTACTGCTGTCAGAGTCCTAATAGACAGATCTGCTTTGAGGGTTACAGTATAAAAACATTAATTTTAGAAAATCGAATAAATTTCAAAGACTTGGTGCAAATAAACTTGGCTTAGTAGAATAAACAAGCTCGGGAGCTGCTTGATTTGGTTCTGTTTTTAAGTCTCCTTTTATGCTTTGGCTGTCAACAGTTGTCATTATTTAGCAGCAATTACCCCACATTTCCAGCTGTACCTGGAAATGAACAGGCCTTTCAAAGGATGAAATTTGTGACAGATTGCATCAGGCAGCTGTATTTTCTCTTAAGTATTTCTAACCTTTATTGTGTCATCACACATTGTGCTGACTTAATATGAATAAATTTTCCTGAAATAATGTTGTTGGATTAGCTTCTGCCATCTCTTCATCTTAGAGAAGTACTGCTGAAAATAACGCTCAGTCTTTGTACTCCTTCTCTAGACATCTGTGAAAATACTGAACGTGTAAAAAATACCTTCAGGTGTATGTAAACATGATTCTGACACAGCTATAAGCTAGCTGGATCAAGGACTAACCACCAGATTGACCAGAGATGTGCAATGACGTGCTCTGAGGAACGTTTATTTCCATGAGTTTGCAAACGAGAATAGGTCTCCTTAACTGGTTACAAAGAGACAGGTGAGGCACCTACAGAGCAAAACACCCAACAGCTGTTACTTTCTTACAGAGTCAAACCCTGCACAAACTTAGACTGATGGCAAGAGGTTAACTAACATCTGAGGTTAACTAGTCATTAACCATGAGCTTAAGCTTTTGTTGAACTGCTTCAGCTTCTAACTAGCAAGACTTTGTCCAAAGGGCTTCTTGTTGAGATAAATGTATCAACTGAAGGCTTATTCAACGCATCTGTAACCTCCTGTGACGGCAGAGCAGATTAGATCTCAAAGTGAGAAACTTCCGCTCTCTCGAGCTATTCCGAGAAAAAGAGGAAATTTTGTACCACAAAGGAAAAAAATGTGTTTTTTACATGAAGCGTACCAACCTCCTTTCATCTCTCAGTGGTCGTCTTAATCACACTGATCTTGGATTACGCTGTCTGAGCATAAACAGTTCTCTGGCTGGCTTTCATGCTGACTAATCTGTATAATTTATATGTAGATAGACATATGTATTTCTTTTTAAACCTGTTCCAATTCTAGGATCTGCAGGAGAACTGAGCTGCTTTTGAGGAATCTTTGCAACATCCCAGAGACTCAGAAAAGAAGCGAGTGGATGGGGTTTTGTTCCTCTCTACCATTTGCTCAGTGGTGTCAAGCCCCTATTCATTTTTATAAACCTTCTTCTGTGATTGAGAGGGACTACAAGATCCTTAAGTCTTTCTTTCAGAGGTAGCTGAGAGTCTGCTCTTCCTTGCAGTCATAAAGCATACAGAAAAATGCAAAACCAGCCTGGAACTGTAGAGATGAAGCCAAGAAGGCCAATCTCTCTGCGGCCAGCGGTGGGCTTCAGCTGGTGGGGATTTCCCCACCACAGAGACTGCAGTGCAGGTGCAGTGACTTCCCCTGGGGCTGTGGTGCAGGGCTCACTGCTGGCACGTGTGCAGCCGCTCGTCCTCAGCAGAAAGCCAGTGGCTACAGAAAGCAAAAAATTTGAGGTGGTGATGACCCCACATCCTCAGGGGTGAACCACCTCTGGTCAAAGTTAACATTGCTGTTTGCAGCGTTGCCTCATGTTCAGCCCTGCTTGCCATCAAGGCTGTTCTGTCACCAAAAGGAATGGCAGTGTGCTGGACCACAGTCCCACAGTCAAAGCAGGCTGGCCTGCAGGTCCTCAGAATTAGCATCCCTTTCTCTAGATTTTGCCACCAAAATTCTGAAGACATAAAAGATCGGCACAGAGGTTAGAAGTGAGGAGCATTTGCATTCATATTGCAGAGTTATGAATGAATACTTGGATGCAGATATTCCAAAGGAAAATCTACAGGAGACGCTTTTCCTTTATTCTTTTTCAACTACTGCTAGAAACACACAAAAGCAAATAATCTAAAAACAAACAGGTTGAAGAGGAAAGCTTGAAGCATGCATAAGTGTATTCGGAAAGTTGTTAAGTAAGGAAGGACAAGGACTGTGAAATGAACAAGGTCATTCTTAAGCTTGAAATTCCAGAAATTGTTGTTGAAATACAATAAAATGCATTTGTATAAATCATATGCAATTGAAATTCAGAACCTTCCTTTCTCTTGCTATACAAAATACACTGTAAGTGTTTTCATTTCACAGTTAATCCAGATGTGGGGAGAGCTGATTTGAAGGGACCTCTTTTGATGAAATTGCTTATGAAAACAAACACATACAAACATTACCGAGCAATTTATTATAGTTGAACACTTGGAATTCAAATGTAAACATAACTCTTGCCTCTTGCATTCATGTCATTTATCTCTGTTTCAAGCTTTGTGCCCATCACTCCCCTTTCCTATTGCAGCAGAGCACAAAGTGTATTGGTGGATACCATTGCAGTATACCAATACTGCTAGTACTAGTATTGCTAGTGCATCAGATCAGAAAGTGCAGATTTCCATATTCTCTGACAGCCTTCAGCAAGTCATTTTTTTCTAATACTTCATTGTCCATATGCAAATCTGAAATGTTTTCAGTGCCAGGAAGCCTATACATTCTTCCATTTCTCACTGAATTTTCATCAGAAGAAAACTTACATCAGCCAACTATGCATTCTGTGTGCTTATTTGAACTCCACTGCAATAATTGTGCGCATATTGTGCACCCAACCCCATGCTTCACTTACCTTGTGGTCCTCAAGGTCTCCCTGCATACAGCTTTCCACTATCCAACAGCACATTGCTTGCTACTGCTATTATGGGGCAATACCATGCCCATAATGTCAAAATGTAATTTACATGAGAGGTTCATATCCTTACTTTCTAATGTACGTTTGGTATCAAAGACTGCCACAAATGATCCTCTACAGATGTTGTCTATACCTTTAATCTCGTCATAGAACAGCACAGCAGAGGTAGGAAGCAACTTTTGGGGGTTTCTAGTCTAATACAGAGATCTGAGTCTAGCTAGATCTGGTTTCTCAGGTCATGTCCAGCAGATCTTCAAGGGTGGAAATCATAATTCTAGGCAACACATGCCAATTTTTTACCAACTTTATTTTAAGATCTCTTTGCTGGCTCACATTCATCTTCTTGTCCACCAGGACACCCAGGGCCTCTCCTGCAGAGCAGCTTCCCCATAGAAAATCCCCTACAGACAGTCTGCTCTATTGCACGGAGTTGAACTACTTCTTCACATTTATTTCTGTTTACCTTTACGAAGCTCCCATCAGCCTACTTCTTCAGCCATCCAGGTACCTCTGAAAAGCAGCCCTGCCCTCCAGGATATTAACCAATCTCCTCCAATTTGGTGGTGTCCACTAACCTGCTAAGAGCACACTCTATCCCATCATCCAGATCATCAATGAAGACATTAAACTGCATTAGCACCAGCTGGTCTCTGAGGGACTCAAGTGGCCGCCAGCTGGAACACTTGCACAACCCTTTGAGCCCAGAAGCCCAGTCAGTTTTGCATTTCTCTTATCTCCCAGCTATTCAGCCCATAATTCACCAGTCTGGTGAGGGAAACATAGGAAACTGTGTCAAGGGTCTTGCTAGTCAAAGTACCCTGCTCTAGTCCATAATGGCAGAAACACAAGTGGAATCACTGTCTCCCATTCAGCGATGAAGCTGGGAGAAGATAATTTGTACCCTTTGTAGATGAACACATTTGCACCCAAAGGTTGCTTAACATTAGGATGAGAAATCGGTGCTAGAAGACAAGACTTGCTTTCTTGCAAAAGAATATTTTTGAAAAATCCTTACTTTCTGGGTTCCCTGACACCTCCCACTGAGTGATCAGTTTCTCCTGTGATGTGGGGAAGTCCACAGCTTACCGTCTATAAAATGAAAAAGACCTTCATAACAAAGTCACAGTGGCAATCAAAATAATTTCTGGTTTCAGGGTACCTGCGTGATCAGTGATGATGCCATTACAAAAGGTGGTGCTGAGAGCCCAAGACAACGCTGAAAAAAAAATAATACCTCAGGTGCCTTTGACCAGGCAGCCTCGTTTCTCAGAAAACTAGGTTCTGAGAACAACCTGCCCCTTTCCCTAGGAGTTAGCTGTTCCAACAAGTCAGGGTCACTCTAGCTCTTTCTGTCCACAGGAGCACATACAAAAACACACACGGAAAACTTTGTGATGCAAATATAATGGAAGAAACAAGCCTTTTCAAAGCTTTGTTAGCAGCTTTGAGTCTATCCTAACAGTCTTAATGCCAGTTTCCCAAATGATTCATATATCATCATGAATAGTTTCACCTTCTTTAATATCAGAGGGAAGTGGTTCTTTCATATCTAGTAACAGAATGGCAATGCCTCTGCCTCCTATTCACAGCTCAAAACTGAGGTTACGGGTGACACTACACACTGAAGAGGTTATCTGCATCAAACTGTTATGCCTGCTGGCTGTGTATGCTGTACAATTGCTTTATGCAATGACGGTCTTTGATCAATTCCAGGAATAAGTTACTTAGGATGAGTATAAGCATATTTTGTCCAATATTTCCTGCTGCATGGAGTTTCCATCCCTGATCTTTTGTG